AATTATTATTGATAAAAGTCATAAAATAACATTCAAATAAACGCTTTGATGCTAATTTGTAAACACTGCACCTCACTTAAATTCTTTTGTACTATGCCGGTTCATAATGTGCTTGGTTTGGATTTTACTGGTTTGAAAATACTAACTACTGATTCGCATCGAAGCATTTATTTGAAAGTGATTTTATCATATTCAGTTGTAATAATTCCTCTAAACTTGTGTCCTTCTCGGTCCCACTATGCCCCAACCTCACTGTACTGTCTTTTTTGAAATCTGATTGTGTATCTCATGTTACGCTAAACTTTTTGTGTTCGCCAAAAAATGGTGTCATCTTTTACAGTTATTTAAATAGTTCGTAATTTATGACTACAATGTACAGTTTTAAAAAAGATGGACTTGATTAAAATGTCTTTTTAATAGGTATGTACATTTTTCTCAAAACATTTGTTGATTATTATTATATTATTCATTACTTTGTATTCTCTCTTCTAAAGCTTCACGGCTGAAGAAATCTCCAGTTGCGCCTGTTACCTCTTTTACTTGGGCAACTACTCTTAATAACCCTTCGTGGGTCAGGACATCCGGCTCTTCATGCGCATTGACTATTCTTGTTATTGCTTCCTGTTGTTATAAGAATAAAAATTACTCATTCATTTGTATAATACAATTTGTAAGTTAAATTGATCCTTCTTTAACGAAATAAAAATGCGTAACTAACAGACATAAAATGGCTTGTATAATAATATGTTACTTATTTTCAGCTGTTGTTATAAGAATAAAAATTACTCATTTAATTGTATATTACAATTTTTAATAATCATAAATAATAAGCACTCTTTATGCTTACATAATCGTCTCCATTACAACGACCACCTTGACATTTCAAAACATACAATGCCACGCAAAAAAACAGTATCATGGTTTTTGAAAACATTTTTAATATTCGAACAATAAACTTGGATTTAGAATATTTAACTAAGTTTGTAACTATTGAACCGTGAACTTCGCTTTAAGCAACAGATACTTAAGAACGTTGTTATTTGCGTTGTATGGCATTTATAGTAAACGCAATCCCTAACTGTTATTTTTTATGTACTTACCACATTTTAAAACTGTTTAGTTATGTGTAAAATATATGCATATATTTTCAACGATTATCGGTAGTGCCCCATCTAAAGAACATATTTAGAATACTCTAGAATGGAACAATAGTCAATAACAAAAACAAACAATTTTCTTAAAAATCTGTTGCTAACCTTTTGTTTAAGAAAAACTGTGAAAAATAAACCTAATACCTAAAAAGAGGTGTCACATTTTTTCCTCTTTGGATCGATTTACTCGAGTATCATCTCTACATATCCGAAATAGTTTGTGATTATTGGTACTTTGGTGTATCATAAAAAGAAAAATCGACTTCTTCGCCCCCAAAAACTAACATAATCGAAAAAAAATTTGCCGGTTTTTAGACTTCGAACTTTAACTCACTAGATCTTAGCGAAAAACGATCGGATCGAAGTGCAATTTTTATAGAACATTTATAAGGCATGTCTCTATCCCCAAATAGCCACAAATCAAATTTCGATAAAACTGCATTCCAACCCCCTCTCCCCAAAGGTTGAAATTTGTTTGGTTTTTAGCTAAAGAGCTGAAAATTAGACTGAAGATAGGTCTATATATATCTGTAACTTGTAAAAAAAGATATAAAACAAAATCATAATTTTTTTTAAACATGTCTATGTAAGATATACAAATGTTAAATGGATTACCCTGTGCCAATATGAAATACGAAAAGTATACATATACATATACTTTTTCAATTGACATTAAAATATTATAATTCCCAGAAGACTATACAGGGTGATTTTTTTATCATAAGCCACTCAATATCTCATAGGGTTTAATAAGAAATTAAAATTTTTTTTCATATTGTTTGTATACAATCTGATCTAAATTTTTCACAATTCTTTCAATTTTTACCATCCCTCCCAACTTAGTTTTTTTTTTATATTAACTTTTCAAACTTAAATGGTAACATATATATTTTATTTCTTTTTTAAATTGAGAATTATGTATTACAAATGTTGACTTGTCGATAACTAGTTTGGATTACCCTGTGCCAATAAGAAATACGAAAAGTATACATATAAACAATATAAAAAAAGTTTGTAATTTCTTTGTAAGCCCTATAAGATTTTGAGTGGCTCATGATATAAAAATCACCTTGTATTATAATGCAATGGAGATCAGGCTGTAATGTCAAAACACGAGTAAAAACGTTGAGTAATTTTCTGTTTAAGAGACATGGTGTGGTGTAGTGGACACCTCAGCTGCCTCGAAGCACCTGAGGTTAATCTGTGTCCAACAACACAAATCAACCAACAACATATTGTGTTACCTATAAATTAAGGTGATTAAGCAACTATACCAAAAAACAAAGTTGGTCCCACGAAAACTATGGTTAATTTGATGGGACAATACATTTCTAGTCTGACTGGCTAATTAAAAATTTGATCCTATTTAATATACGCATATTATAGGGGCTCATTACTTTTTTATTTCAAATAACTAATTATCAAGTTGTTCTAACAATACATTTAATTGGGCCATCTAAAAACTAATCGTGTCCCTTCATAAACCACAGTTTAAGTCAGACCAACTATAAATTTTTTCTCTCTAGAAGGATGGTATACAAATCAATTATAAAGATATATCAAATACTAGCCAAATTACCCGGCGTTGTCCGGAGAAATATTGTGTTTTGATAACCATCATCACACGACGCCAAATTAGTTTAGGTTGTTTTACGCAACCCACCGTTACGTCATCGTGCTGATGGGTAGGTCGAACCCCACCCTCCTGTCTAATTTAAAGAAAATATATAAGGGCAACCAGTGCGACGTAATTTACAGTGTCTATATATTTGTTGTCTAACTTTGTTTTGCAACACTCTTTTTGGGTGTAACTCACTGTAGAAGCATTATCTTTTTAAGTGTAAATCAACCAAAATAACGTTTATAATAGAGCGTTAAACATATAAAACCTTTGAAAAATAAAAAATATCTATACCTATATTCAAATTTTGTCTCCAAGCCCTTACAGGTCTGTTGTGTTTCTTAAAACATAAAAACACTGAATTAAAAATAATAATTGATATGATAGCTTATAAACAATGAACAATATAAAAGATTAGCAATTAACACAAAAATTATATGTTTATCATATCATAAATATTATAATCATAATAAAAATATCATAAACTTGCACTCTCTTGAATTGGAATGGATAATTTGACGGTATCGTGTGTATGCGAGGACTGAAAACTGATTTGCCATTTGCAGATCCAGTAAAAATGTTAGCTTCTATCAGATTTTTCTGAAGAGCAATTACACGCAGACGTGTACCATTGCATAAATTAGGTGGCAAAGATTTCTTAGAATCATTATTGGAGTACCAACTTTTTAAGTTAGAAAATGTGGTAGGAGTCCAGGAGGATTACTCTACTGAATAATTAACTGCATTATCTACTTCTAATACTGAATTTACAGATCTGTATTCCATGGTTTCTGCTTGACAAGAATCTAATAATATTTTATTTCTCTGCTGCTGTCTCATTTTTTGATGTTAATACCGGCGTAGGCTAAATGAAAAGTGACTTTTCACGGCCATAATCTGTAGAAGATATGAAGTAGTCGCCATTCGAGTTGTAAGACATTATGAGCGAAGACGCTCCAATGAACAGCCACACGCCAAAAACTTGTATTTCGTATCACCTAGCACCTTTCTTGGTCATTAAATAAATTGCACGAAATTGATTGAAAAAGGCAGGCACCATCTCCGATGATAGGAACAACTATTTAAGGAGTCAATAGGCCGTTTACCATAATCTCTTCAATCGACATTTAAAAATATGTTTAATGCTACTACAAATCTAATAACGCAATCAAAACAAATCAGCTAAATATTTTTAACCCAAAATGAACACCTACGATATGCATCGATAACCATAGTTTAAGTTGGACGAACTTTGTATTTTGAAGAGAGTAACTTATTCACCTTAATTTAAAGGTTAAATTACATATTTAAACATTTTTTACTTATTTTGTTCGAAATATATGAAATATTACATTTTGGATTAAGTGTGTTCGAAAAACATGGAGAGGACTAGTAAAGTAGAGTATAGGCATAAAGGAATCAAAGCATAGAACAACAGATTCTGAACGGGTTACCAATTGTGAAATACTTAACCTTGGCTGTGTGTTAGGGGTAATGATCTTGACGATTTTTTTATCGGAAAGTTTTTTAATGTAAGTAACAAGAGTTATTTTTCAAATATGAACCTTTACATTGAACCTGGTAATCTATTATTATTTACAACAATAAGACCATTGTAAACTAACTGCATAACTTTGTGTGAATTCACAATTTCAGTAATATGTTACTGGAGGATTATTCATTTTTCTATATTAGTATTATATGTTTTATTTATTATGTATTTTTTTAAACTATTTAAATAAAAGCGATACATTAACAAGTTAATCAATGCTAGAAAACATAACTTGATTAACAAATAAACATATTAAGTAAATTAATCATTCACATAAATCCTATTTTTTAATAATTTTTTAAACACGGCTCGACACCTTGAACTTATTTTTAGATGAAATATAAAATTAAAACAACCAGTCGAGTTACACTATAATAATGTAAATAATAAGTTGTAGGTATAATTATTTATGAGTTAAGATGGCGTGAGCAAGCTTAACTGTCTTTGATCATACAAGAAGAATTTAGAAAAAAATAATTATTAAATAATACCGAATAGTTGAGAGGTAAAAATATTATCAATATTTAAATAGAATAAAACAAATGTAGGTTGTTCAATAGAGATTTAATTTTTTTTTTCAAATAACATTTTTTGTATATGCAACATTTAGATTTTCTTAAGGATAGATAATATTCACAAGTATCAATTTTATGGAAGCATCTAGGTGAAACGACAATGGGTCAAAAATAATTTCAGGTATAACAAAGTCCATTTGGGTTTCGCACAACAATAGTTGTTAAATATCACTTAAGTTTCTAATTTTCCAATTTCACGTATTGAAACGTCTCAGCACCCATTTAAGCATAGCTAACACACACGTGGGGTTCAGTAAACGGTATTTAGCTAAGGTGTCAACTGTTTTAGTCGCATCTACGCGGAATGTAACAGCCGTTCTTTGCAATGCCTGTAAGTGAATACACAATGATGAATTAGTTATTATAAAATGATTTTAACAATTGTAAATTACCTTCATAGCATATTCGTCATTCGTATCATCTCCAACGAAAATTGTAGGAATTTCCATCCAATTTCTTGGGAAGAATTTATTTAAAATGTACAAAGCTGCATGCCCTTTGTCCCAATCTACAGGAGGTGTTACTTCAATAGCGCAATGAGCTTTGCCCGCTTTAAACTCAGCTTTTTCAATGAGAAAATGAGCTCTTTCCACCAGCTCAGGACGTAAACTATCAGGTACTTCACGGTAATGGTAGGTCATCGTAGGTCCTTTGTCTTCTACCCAAGCACCATGTTTGCAAACCTTAAAAAAAAAAAAAATGATAGCATTATACAGCTTGAAATACCGAAAAATAGCGAAAAAAAAAAGAATCATACAACTCTCAATGCTTTCTTAGCTCCATATTGTGAACTATGAAATGCAGTGTTTGTTGTAATGAACGGCATGTCATACATACCTCTTTTTCGAGAGAATTTTTCAAATTGTCGAATGTTATTTTCATCGGTGCCGGTATTAGAAATTTAAAGTCGTCGCCATTGGGAAAAATAATGTCAAGACCAGTGTTACCAGCATAAGTCAAATCGTTGATACCGACCTAAAATGATTTAAACTATATGTATTATATCATAGCTAAGGCGAAATACACAATTTCATAAACGAACCATTTTTTTAAGATCGCCTAATCCTCGTCCCGAAATAATTGCTACGTGCACATTTGGCATTCCGGCCAATGTTTGTAAAACGGTTTTAGTGTCATCGGGTATTGTAGCCATTTCAGGACGTTGAACGATATCTGTTAATGTTCCATCGTAGTCCAATAATAATACTATCTCGTTTCTGTCTCCAATGTAGCTAACAATTCAAATTCCAGTTAAAACATATTGTAATAGTTAAGATGTACAAATATTTACCTGGATAAGCAAGCATCGAAGTTTTGCACAACAAGTGGTCGCGTAATAGTTGGCAAATCGTTTGCACTTTCAGCTATAAAAGTGCCAATTAGTAATCTACATTTGATTACAATATTTAGTTTTTAAATTTTGAAACCTTTCTGCTTTATATGTATGTACTTTATAATATATGCCGGGTCACACCAAATATTTACACGGAGATAAATTCGTTTAACTGGAGTTAAAATAAATTCTGTAGCATAAACCAGGTTGACATACAATGTTACCATATTACTCATAATTTACTATTGTATACAGATTTTTATGGTACAATTTGTTACGGTATAATATGGTTTAATATGGTCGTACCTAATCAGTAAATAATATCACATATTAAATTATTTTTATCATGTACTACCATGCTGCCATCTAGTTTATTGTTTTCAACTATAGTTGATTCATATCAAAGTATATGCTAGTATTGGCAATTACCCTCCTTATATAACCTACTTTATGGCATAAACCATATTTTAAATTGTATCTGTTGTTAAAAATGTACTTTATCACAAGTTAAACTACAGGGTCATTTATCGCTGTGTAAAAATGTATGTTTAGTTAAATTTTCTCATTATTTTTTTTGCGTTAAAGTGGTGATAATGGAAATGTGCGTTATCAGTTTATCATTGATTAGACCCTGTATGATAATAATATTAACTCTGCTATTGCTGATATCATTTATTCGATAACCAGTATACTGGACATAAAACAACGATTGAGCAACACTCGAACCTAACCTAAGACATGTCAATTTAACAAAAGATAAACTTTAACAAAAGTTAGTTTATTACGGTGGGAAATAATTTACCAATAGATAACGACAAGTTTGGTGCAACTGGGCTATAGTAAACAGTATAGAAAATATAGAAAAATTCTTTCGCAAAACCGTCATTGTTTTGTCCATGCTATTTATTGGTTTTTCTATGAATTATCAAATATAAAACGGAGTTATTATCATTTCTAAGATGACTAACATTTCCATGACTTATCAAATATGAAAACAGTATGTGATATGGCGATGTTATCATCACCTAACCTAACATTTTAGTTAAGCAGCCTCATCATCTGGCCCAGAAAAAAAGGGGATCGGTCTACGAATACCTCATGAGCGGATAATGAATACAAGATGTAAAATATGAAAATTGGAATTTACTACATAAAACACTCTCTAATTTGGTTCTTGGGGAAAATACTCGTTGTTCCTTATTAATTAACGAAAATTAGGAAGCAAACAGGTTAGCCACTTGATCACCCGAGGCTATTTCAGCCACAATATGAATATATAACTAATAAATACCCACCAAAAACATTATTTAGTATCATTTAACGGATCACGTTTATTCTTACATAATATAATTTCTATATTTACAATACATCTATATTTATTCAAACCACAAACTAATGATTTGCTTAATATTTTATTGTTATAATTTTTTTTTTTTAGCAACAAAGCTTGGCGACAAAATTTCATAAGAACATAAAAAAATTATTGTAGGGTCATTCCATGCCAAATCACCTATCGTGTGTGCGAGTGGATTTTTGAAATTCCTAAAAATATACATAATCTATGCAGATAGTTCCATAAAATCAGAAAAGTAAAGAAAAATGTATTTATTAACATTTTTTTTTTTGACTTCTCAATTTTTTTTACTTTAGGACTATAATGAGAAATTCCAAATTTTATATATTTTATTAATTTTTTAAATTGAGAATAATGTACTAAAAATTTTGTCTGGTTGATAATCATTTTTGTATAACTATTTTTGAAGTTATTGAAGTTTCAAGTTTAGGGCAGGAGGAATGGTGGAGTGTAGTGTTATTTTTATCTGCGTGCATTTCCCAGCTGCACTTCCCCTCCCATCCTAACTTTAAAACTATTATAACATTAAAAATAGTTATCCGAAACAGGTTATCGACCAGTCAACATTTTTAGTACATTATTCTCAATACAAAAATAATAAAATATATACGTTCTGTTTAAGTTTCAAAAGTTGCTACCAAAAAAACTAAGTTAGGTTGGGGGTTAAAACAACAAATTTTTTTTAAAAAATGAGATCACATTGTATAAAAACAATATTTTCACTTTTTTTGTCAATGTAGTGGTGTATAACTGGAGTGTTCAAAAGCGGGGCACTACTTGATGGAACTTCTACAAAGTAAATTTGCATTTTAGTCTTAATTTATATGAGTTATAGGATTTATTAACACTTTTTATAATAAAATCAGAACAATATTATGTTATGGTATGACACATATTTTTATAAAGTGTGTAAGTATACAAAATATAACTATATATTTTTTTTAAAAGTACCACCAATACATATCTATATATTTGTTTTAAGTATAACAATTGTAATGTGATATACTCATATTACTACCTAACAATATAGTCACATAGTACAATGTAAGTTTAACCTAAGTACTCACGTTCTTTAGAATCACCACCATCAACAACTAAACAAAACAAATACAACATTTTATTTTAAAAACAACAAGTAGAAAAATACTCTGCTAATAATGTAGAATTGTGTTGTAGTATTATTCTGTTTGTTTTATTTCTATTTATTTCTCAGAATTGGATAGGCTGGAGCACAGTGAGTAAGGTATTACACACAGTTCGTGGTTTCCCATTTTTTCTTAACAGTTGTAACACATTGAAACGGAAATTTTTTAGATAGGTATTTCTCTAATATTCGTTGTTCTGTTTTACTATTTAAAATTTTTTTTTTTTTAACGGTAAAAGAATAATGGTGGAGAATGATGGTTTTTAAATTATAAAATTTAAGATAGCCATTTTATTAAGAATAATTTGTTGAACATTTTGACTGGTCGATAACCTGATTTTGAAAATTACTTCTTAAGTTGTTTAAGTTTAAAGTTCAGGATGGCAGGTGGAGCAAGGTAGAGTAAGCGCGTATTAAAAAAAAACTTAAAAATATTCACTAGAACAAAAGTTATTTCGTTTGTCTTATCTTTGTGAAACGCCCTGTATACAGTAAAATAATAAAATAAACTCTAAAACCCCCTCCTTAAATTCTCGACGTTATGTTATGCGTTTTATAAATAACATTGATGAGTTAAAAAATAAAGCGAGCTTATAATAGTTGTTTTTATAAAAAACAAAATCAATGCTATAACATAATATGGTGCGCAATTAAATATAATAACTATATATAAATAATAAGCTATAAATATAAAATTTAGATTGTAGTTTATACTGTACTGCCATGTTGTATTATTCAACGTATTATTTGTAAATCTGTACAAACAATTTTTTTTTTTGAGAAGTATTACCCTAATATAATATATTATGTATAACAATAATAATATAATATATAAAATGGAATAGCCAACATTTTAGCCGTGTCTTATTCTACAAAACCGTATGAACATATCGAGTACTCACATGTACCACTTTTAACACAACTGACAACTAAACAAAACAAAATAAACAATTTTTCAATTAAAAAAATATTAACTAGCGAGTCGCATCATAGGTAAGTAAGCAAGTTTGATTATACAACATTGTCTTTTAGTATTGTGTGAACATTATTAGCTTTGCATTTATTTCAAGGATTGGGGCAAAATTTGTACGTTTGCCGGCATTGACAATTAAACAAAAAAAAAAAAATGTTATGCCAAAAGTAGGTCGCTTATGTATTAGAAACCGCTTTATAATATTTTATTATAATAAGTATCTTTGCTGATATGACATGGTCTTTTTGTAGCTGGCTGGAAGTGTCATGTACACAATATTGGATAAACAATGTACAAGCTAGAAACTCGAGACATACATAATATCATCATAAAAAGCAAATCGCACGCAGCAACAACGTGAAAGACGAATATTAATTGGTTATACGTTTATTACCCGACAACGATGCAATGGAAATTGCTGCTATTGTAAGTGAAAAACAAATGTATTTAGAAAACGCCATCGTGTGTTGTAAAAGTTTAGCCGTAGTGTTGACTGTTCAGTAATATTTAAAACATAAGCGTAAAAGTATAAATCGATTGGCGCTATATAGCCGAATAAGATGTTTTTCTCATATATCAAAATAGGCATAAAAAAAAAACTTGTGTAGTTAACGTGTCTATACATATTTTTATAAAATATTTTGCAAATCGCTTGTACGTCAAGTGTACGCAAAATAAACAACAAACTGCTGTCATATACCACCGCATAGTGTCTAAACGATATTATTATAACACACTACGGTACAAAATTGATTTTCGTTTTTTTCGATCATTGGCGATATTGAACAGTAGTTTTATTCTTCTGTTTCGCCTTTAACCCAGACTATTTTAACGCCGGCCACCCATGTGCTGGACCTCCTCCGGACACGACCTCTTGTTGCACCCTTGTTGCAACCCACATTAAACTTTCGTTGGAAAGTTTCTCTTGTCACGGCCAAACACCTGACCACTCTATCTATCCTGTGTTTCACATCCTCGTCAAAGCCACCGTTCTTTCGTGCAAAACATCCTAAACGGGTACTTAAAACACTCAATCTCGTCTAAGTCTAAAATATTGTTAGAATCTAAACAAAATCCATTACAAATATTATATTTTATCGAAAAGAAAATATAAAAATTCGGCCGCCTTGCGAGACGTTATCGTGTTTTCCCCAAGAAGTAAATAACGTTGAAGCAATGGCAAAATAGTCATGCAGATGTGCGTAAACAAGTTGTTTCGAATAATATATTTCATTGTTCAAACAGCGAGTAGTATGAATTTGTTATAAGTCTTTGAACTCGGCAATAACGATTTATAGTTTGTAATAACGAAAAAGAATATGAAGAAAGTCGGCACACTAGGCTCCCCCGATTGTAGGCACGGAGAGAGGTGTTAACAAGTTTTTTTTAAAAGCGTTAACACAGGGTGATTCGTTGGTGACTAGTTTTTCTGCAAAAACTCATTGTAAATAATTATCAAACAATCCAAGTGATAATAACACCAGCGTACCGTGATTTTAATGTTATCGAAAAATTATGATATTATCAATTAGAAAAAAACATTTTCAAAAACTTTATCATTCAATTTTGTAATAAATAGAACAGAAGGATGTTTTTCGATATGTAATGCATCGTTTTATCTATTTTTCTCAAATCATCTATGCTATTGTGTGCAAAAAGCACACACATATATATCTGTGACTTGGGCCCAAAAGAGCCAACTCACTTTTTGTAAATTTCGGAAAATGAGCTTTGAAGTTTTTATTTTCCATTAGGCTCTATGTAAAATTTTTTTTACAAAACTCTTCATGAGTCATTCATTTTTTGGCCTCAGAGTGTGATTTTTTCACAGTAAATTACAAAGGATGCTTCAATTTTTGCATTTAGCGGTCTAACTCGTTTATGCCCAAAATTGACACTGGCCCTTTTTGACCCAAGCCACAGAATTATATATATACATATTTACACATATACAGATTTAACGTCTTGCGTTAAGTTGATCGCTTTGTAGGTATACATTGGTTTTTTTTTTAAATACTGTGCCTACTCTTATTTTATAATCATGTAAATAGTTTGTTATGTTGTTATTATTATTGATCGGTTATGATACAATCTTTAATCACACAAATAGCAAAATAAATGTATTACCTAAACAAAAATATTATTATAGTTATCGGTTAATTCCGAGGTAGTAGCATTGTTAATATATTTCAATAAAGTATAACAAACATGAAAATTTTTCAATAGTGACTTTATTTTTTAAAATACAATTTTCTACATTTCTGAACATAATAGACTATTTTGCTCAACTAATTTAAACTAATAAACCAATGTTTAAAATTGTGTATTTTAATATTATTTTCGTTATGCGGATGAGTTCCTTTTGCGTTTCAAATCTTTATGGACGAACCACTACAAAACCATCGACTGTAAAAAAATGTATATATTTAAAAAAATATTCTTGAATATGTGTTTTACAATGATTTTATAATATTGTGTGCGTTGAAAACACATAACAATTTATATTGAACATTTCTTTTTGCTATTAACACAATTACTTTATTTTAATTTTACTGGCAACAAAAGAAACATAATCAATTTAATACACTCGATTTAATTATAATTAGATATAATTTTAATCAATATATTTTTTTTCAAAAGTTAACTGGCTTGACGGCATTTAATAGTTTTATTATTTAAGTTTTGTAAAGCTAGTTTTGATTCGTTTTACCGTTGTTATAACAGAATTTAATCAATACATGTAATGCATACATCTACCTATATCCAAATATTTGTTTAATTCAATGTATATTAAATGTCATTTAATCGTTTAATGTACTTACTGTTCTCTTTTCCGCGATCATCAGACTCTATAGTTAAATTAATAATAAACAAATAATTAATAACTAAAATAATTTTTAAAAATATACAATTATAATTTCAGGGATTGCACAATTTTCGTCCTAAAAACAATACTTTACATTGTTTCAAAAGGTATAACTTAACCTAAACTTTTTTTTAGGCAGAGTTGGGCACTTTTTATTCGAATAACGAATAACAAATACTTTATTTCAAATAATTTTCTTATCCGACCAAATCTAAGATGATTTATTCGAATCGTTTATTAAAAAAGTTTTTTTCTATACCTCCAATGCTAAAAAAAATGTACGTGGAGACCGTCGGTACAAATAAGTACCTCATACAAAACACTGTTGTGACCGACGTTACTTTCTAGTATCACCGCTATATTTAAAAAACTAATGTAAATTTTTTTTATTATTCAAATTTATTATAGTTTAGAATATGTATTTTAACGAAATTTTGAAAAAAAAATTTGGTGAAATTTGGATTTGTCTTTGTTTGGGCAACAAAGGGAAGAATGTCGACCATGTTATTTAATTTTCCGGTTAATTGGTATGAGCTTCAAAGTACTTTTTTAAATTTATATAATTTTTCCTATGAGTTAGTCATTTTGGCTTATTTTAGCCAAAAAGAAAGACAAAATTTCAACTACTTAGGATGGTCCAGTTTCAATTCTGTAAAGAGCTTCGAGTTCTTTGGCTACTTAATTATGTTATTTAGGAAGACGATTTTCGTTTAAAATTGTCAGTTTCTTGTAATCAAATAAACAAAATTTACAATTTTCCGATATTAAAAGACGATTTTTTTACATAAAGAAATTAAAAAATCCGCTTCCAGCATATCCTTGTAAGGTTGCCAAAGAACTCGTACATATTGAAATCTTAAATAGTCAACATTTTGTCTGGCTTTTTGTCTAAAACGTCCAAAAAACCCACCGCATACAATCCCCTCAATCAATCTTTTGAAAAACCCATGATATGAATAAGTTGTATCGAAAGCCCAAATCCATTAGGACCAAACAAATTAATGATTGTTTAGCTAATTCAAATCAAGTCGCAATAAAATTTTTATTTGGTTATGATAACATTAAAATAATTAGCATAGGAAAAAAATATTCAAAACAACTTGGAATAAAGAAATTAAACAGTTTTTTTATATTAATAATAATTATTCGAATACAAAAATTATTCGCCGGTCATTCGTATCAACAAAATTATTCGATGGTCTTTCGAAAAAAAAAATATTATTAGACAGTCATTCGAATAAAAAAAATTATTTAGCTAATTATCTAGAAAAAAATAATCTAAATAATGCCCAACTCTGCCTATAAGTTATTATTGCGAAAGAAGTACTTACTACCGACTTTTACAACATTCTTAGCACCTATTGTCACAATGGAAAAACAAACAAATAATATTACAATAATATTCAACATCACAATTCAATTAATTCTAAGGTGCTAAAGTTAAACGACAACATAGTGCAATGTTGTTATACGGAGTGGCCACTGAGTGACCGGTATGTGACTAAAACCAACAAAGGGCATGCGACACATTATTTAATATAAATAATTTCAAGGACACCACTGAGTTGAGACTAATACCATATGTTGGTTTTGGTCTCATGTCGGCAATCAGTAATAAATAATGTTACGTATCAATTCAACAAGATTTTTGATCCTGATTTCAAATCTGAAATTATTTTTTCGTAAGACCATTTTTTAATGGAATGCGAGTTCTATTTTAGATAATTTAAAATTTAAAAAAAAAATAACATCGTTTATTTTACCCATAGAGCATCATGAATATCTCATTTTAAGCTCGGTAGAACTTTACTTTACACCCTGTACTTATAGACCAGATAGATTAGGTCAATATCTTAAAAGAAGCAAGACTTTTTTAATTATGTTTTAAATAATTATTAGTTGCCCAAATTTAATATATATTTTTCAAAAATATAACACCGTCCCTTATGTGTTTATACCCTATGAACTTAACATGGTAGCGCACGTTTTAATGTACTTTTCAATTTCAGAATAGGTTATTTGCTGAAAATGTCGACTGATCGATAACCATTTTTGAATAATTACATTTTAAGTTGATCAAATTTAAAATTTAGGATGGGAAATGGAGAGCATGTAGATAAAACTATTTTATAATTATTCCAGTCTTCCTCCCGTCCTAAATTTTAAACTTTAATAACTTTATAAGTAATTTTATCAAACCGGTTATCGATCAGTCGAAGTTTTCGGAAAATATAATTCTAAACTTTAAAATTTTATAATATATTAATTTATATAGACTTTTATATTATAATTGTTGGTGCGAATCGTTTACTTACTCAAACTCTTTTGTTTTTCGTCTACATAATTATCAATTATTATTGGACCCCATTGGGCTAAAATACAAGAGAGATATTATTATAAGATTAAGACTAAATAATTTTTTTAAAATTACATTTTCCAAACAGGTTCTGAGAAATATAACTTTTACACAGTTAAATATTTGTTTCTATATTTATTTTGTTTAAAAATATATCTTAATTGTTCTTTTATAACAAACAGAAATCGTTACAAACAATGACGATACTAATGAATACTAATAATGTTAATTAAAATAAACTAAAATCATGAATCATACTTGACGGCTCTGCAGGATCGGCACCTATTAATCGTTGAACAAAAAATAAACATTAAAATAAATCAGTCTATTCATTCGTGTACATAACTAAGAGTTGAAATTTAACTGTTGCTAATGAAATTAACGTTTTAAATAAAACTGATGTTACTATTTAGTTTTAAAACAATTAAAAAACGAAAAATATAATAAACCGTTGTTTTAGCCATTCAATAGATTTTTCTACTCTTGTAGCATCGCTTGCAAGTTTAAAAAAAAAAATTGAATTAAAGATATAACGTTTTTTGGTGCGAGGTTAAATGTAAACTTGTATAAACTCATAAATAATAGCTATAGAAGCATGCTATTCAAAAAAGTTTTTCAGCTGAGTCTGCAACCACGAAAGAGCATTTTCATGTATCGTTGAAGTACCGAATAAATTTTGAGTAGTGGTGGTTATCTATAATTCCATTATAGATAATGAAATAGTATAATAACAAGCTAGTATCTAAGGTGACTAGTAAACATATCAAGTTTCTGGCTTATATTTTAGTGATTTCATAATATCTGGCCTTAAACAATTCATAGGAAATATAACCTGTTAAATTACATTGAATTTATTTTTCAGTTATAATTTGATCGCTGTGAATACAGCATATCTCTCACTCCAATCTATCACCCGTAACTCTTACCCCAATCTCCCACCCCTATTTCCTACCCCTATCTTTTACCCCTAACTCCCACCCCTATCTCCCACCCCTATCTCCCACCCCCTATCTTCCACTACAACCTCATCATCATCACCATCCTATCCACATTTCTTTTTTCGTTACGCTTTTTTGGTAACACTTTTTTCGGTTATGTGCCAGAGCTAAACCATGAAAATGTCAAAAATATAATATATTGATGTACTTACAATCCACTTGTACAGTAGTCTTAGCACCTATCGTCAAAACATTAAGAGGTTAAAAATTCAGAAAGACCTGTATACCTGTTACAATAACAGTTATAATATTGTTACAGTTAATTATTGTTTGCTTACTTGAATTTACATTGTTGCCGCCAATATAGTTGTCAATAGTGTGTGGGTTGAATAATTGGGCTGAAATAAAATTAGTAAGTGATTCTACATGATAAAAAAAACGGTGCGGGCATACTCTACCGTACTCCACCTCCCGTCTTAAATTTTAATTTTAAATAACTTAGAATATAATTATCCAAGACTAGTTGCCGACAAGTCAAAATGCTCCGCAATTTTTCCTAACAAAATGGCTATCTCAAAAAAAAAAACTTTAAAATATTTTATTTTCACTAGAAAAAAATGTATTTTATTTGTGATGTCTTTGTAAAACACTTTTTAGAACACAAAAATATTATAATGTATTATATTCAAATTGAATACCTATACTTAGCATTATATAGTTGACCTTATAGTAGATAAAATGTATAAATTTAAGTAGGTACTCACTTTTTTCAGGATCACCGCCATTAACAACTAAACAAAACAATTGAAACATTTGATTTAAAGAAATATAATAATCAACAAGATGCTTTGATTATATATATATGTATATAGGCTATACTATAGCATTCTGTTATAGTATGTAAATTTGTGTTTGTTTGTCTCCTTTTGAAATATTTACCATTTCCTTCAGCTGTTTAAAGGTTTATCAGAGCCTTTAAACTTATCGGGAAAACAATCACGAGAGAGGTAACATCATAAATTAACAGCGATTCTATTATATTACTTATTTAGAAAAATGTTGGCCCGGTTTTGTCCAACTATCAAAATATTATCACGACCTACTTCTGGTTCTGTATGTAATAAAACCTTCGTGATAAATGTTAAATTTCTTTCCACTACATGATCTTACTTAAAACAAGCGTCCCAAAAAATGCCATCTTTGTACTTTTAACTACAGCAACAAGCCAGAAGACGTTTGAGCATACACAATATATTATCATGTAAAGCAAATAACAAACTAAAACAATATCTAAGGAAATTAAAAATATGTAGGTATATTATTTTACCCGATAACGATACAAAGAAAATCGCTGCAACAGCAATTGAATAAGATATGCTTTTGAAAACGGCCATCTTGTTCGCTTAATACCGTTGAATTAATTGCCGTCGTTTAACAGTGTTCACTGTTCATTGTGAAATTTTGGTTAAATGTAAAACTAAGAATTGAATACAGACGTTAAATATGTAAACGACTTTAGTCATGTGCAACTCGTTATGATGTAAATGGGGTTTTTTTTATCTGTACGAATGACTAAAAAGAACACGTACTTGATGTTTTGTTTGCTTGTTGAAACAGTAACTCGTCAGTTTAGTTGTTAGTCATACGCAAATGCAGTAAATAACAAAATATATCCAAAACAAGTACAACATCGACCTAGTTATATTATTTCGAGGCCAAAGTTAAACCACGAACAACTTCATTACTTTATTAAATTCAACTTATTTTGCACTTAGACCTATTTATAATTTATTTTTAGGATTTCTCATACTCATAAACCATAGTTTTAAAATATAGTCTTACTTTGACCATAATTAATTGAATTGAGATTAAACATATTATTTGACTTGCGTTGTTTTTGCAGGGAATAGAAATTTATCATATAATAATTAGGTCAAGAAATAAAATTAAATAAATGAAATATTATTAACATTATTGCAAAAACTGGTATTATTTTTAAAATGTAATAAAATAAACGTAATTTTTACACAGAATACGTGTAACGATTATCATAATTATCAAATTTGACAAAAAATCGTTGACTTATGACGTTTTTGAAATGACCGATTCAATTGTTTTGACCTGACTTGCTAACGGTTTTTAAAATTTTAAAAATTTCGATTAATTATCAAGATGGAATTTTTTTAATGACCAATTTTAATTAAATGCATAAGTTCACGAACAAGTCCAACTTCTAGTTGAACCTAGGATCTGAAATTTTAGGGACTTCTTGTTAAATTTATTTGGTACTATAGATTGGACAGGGAGGGACAAATAAAAATACATTTTTTTTAAGCTCAGTAATAAAAATATATTTTTTGTTTGTTCTTGGTCGAAAATAATAGGAAAATTCAGTACAATGGTAGTAAACTCTACCGTTATAAAGTTTTCAACCTAACTTTTTGGTATTGTTATTTTAGCTGCGATGGAAAATAACAGAACATTCATGTTTTTTTTAAAAAAAACACCTGAGCCGGATAAAATATTCCTTTGGTAACAAACAATTTCGGTTAGCGTTGCATGAAATTATTATCCAATATTTCAAATATTCTTGATATTTTTTAGCTAAACCATTATAGGATGAAAATGAATTCATGCATTGTTCGTATGGTTAATCTATACTATGCAATTAGTACATACGTTACCGTTTAGTTTTCGAGAGTTAGTAGGCATTTAAAAAGAAATAATAATATATATGAAAATTGGGATTTTGTCTAATATTGTAGAATAACACAAACAAAAGGGTTTTCAGTAATAAAAACTACAAAATGTCAACTAGGTATTTTTATAGAAACATTTTTAACGTCTTGTGTTAAGTTGATCGCTTTGTACACCTTTTTTTTAAATACTGTGCCTACTCTTATTTTATAATCATGTAAATAGTTTGTTATGTTGTTATTATTATTGATCGGTTATGATACAATCTTTAATCACACAAATAGCAAAATAAATGTATTACCTAAACAAAAATATGATTATAGTTATGGTTAATTCCGAGGTAGTAGCATTGTTAATATATTTCAATAAAGTATAAAAAACATGTACATTTTTCAATAGTGGCTTTATTTTTGAAAATAAGATTTTCTACATTTATGAACATAATAGACTATTTTGCTTAACTAATTTAAGCTAATAAATCAATGTTTAAAATTGTGTGTTTTAATATTATTTTCGTTATGCGGATGAGTTCCTTTTGCGTTTCAAATCTTTATGGACGAACCATTACAAAACCATCGACTGTAAAAAAATAATACTTTTTAAAAACTTTTAAAGTTTTGAAACTTATTAGTAATATTTCTATTCCTATATATTCAATAGACATGTATATATTGAAAAAAAATTACTTGACTATGTGTTTTACAATAATTTTATAACATTGTGTGCGTTGATAATACATAACAATTTTTATTGAACCTTTCTTTTTGCTATTAACACAATTACTTTATTTTTATTCTACTGGCAACAAAAGAAACATAATCAACTTAATACACACGATATCATTATAATCAAATATAGATTTAAACAATATAGTTTATTATCAATAGGTATTAAACTGGCTTGACGGCGTTTAGTAATTTTATTATCAACATTTTGTAAAGCTAGTTTTGATTCGTTTTACCGTTGATATAACAGAATTTAATCAATACATGTAATGCATGTATCTACCTATATCCAAACATTTTTTAAATTCAATTTATATTAAATGTCAAGTAATCATATAATGTACATACTCTTTTCTTTTCCGCGATCATCAGACTCTATAGTTAAATTAATAATAAACAAATAATTAATAACTAAAATAATTTTAAAAAATATACAATTATAATTTCAGGGATTGCACAATTTTCGTCCTAAAAACAATACTTTACATTGTTTCAAAAGGTATAACTTAACCTAAACTTTTTTTAGGCAGAGTTGGGCACTTTTTATTCGAATAACGAATAACAAATACTTTATTTCAAATAATTTTCTTATCCGACCAAATCTAAGATGATTTATTCGAATCATTTATTAAAAAAGTTTTTTCCTATACCTCCAATGCTAAAAAAAATGTACGTGTGAGACCGTCGGTACAAATAAGTACCACATACAAAATACTGTTGTGACCGACGTTACTTTCTAGTATCACCGCTATATTTAAAAAACTAATGTAAATTTTTTTTATTATTCAAATTTATTATAGTTTAGAATATGTATTTTAACGATATTTTGAAAAAAAAATTTGGTGAAATTTGGATTTGTCTTTGTTTGGGCAACAAAGGGAAAATGTCGACCATGTTATTTAATTTTCCGGTTAATTAGTATGAGCTTCAAAGTACTTTTTTAAATTTATATAACTTATCCTATGAGTTAGTCATTTTGGCTTATTTTAGCCAAAAAGAAAGACAAAAGTTCAACTACTTAGAATGGTCCAGTTTCAATTCTGTAAAGAGATTCGAGTTCTTTGGCTACTTAATTATGTTATTTAGGAAGACGATTTTCGTTTAATTGTCAGTTTCTTGTAATCAAATAAACAAAATTTACAATTTTCCGATATTAAAAGACAATTTTTTTACATAAAGAAATTAAAAAATCCGGTTCCAGCATAACCTTGTAAAGTTGCCAAAGAACTCGTACATATTGAAATCTTAAATAGTCAACATTTTGTCTGGCTTTTTGTCTAAAACGTCCAAAAAACCCACCGCATACAATCCCCTCAATCAATCTTTTGAAAAACCCATGATATGAATAAGTTGTATCGAAAGCCCAAATCCATTAAGACCAAAAAAATTAATGATTGTTTAGATAATTCAAATCAAGTCGCAATACAATTTTTATTTGATTATGATAACTTTAAAATAATTAGCATAGAGAAAAAAACTTTAAAATAACTTGGAATAAAGAATTTAATCAGTTTCTTTATATTAATAATAATTATTCGAAAACAAAAATTATACGCCGATCATTCGAATCAACAAAATTATAAGACAGTCATTCGAATAAACAAATTATTTAGCTAATTATCTAGAAAAAAATTATCTTAATAATGCTCAACTCTGCCTACAGGTTATTATTGCGAAAGAAGTACTTACTATCGACTTTTACAACATTCTTAGCACCTATTGTCACAATGGAAAAACAAACAAAAAATATAACATTAATATTCAATATCACAATTCAGTTAACTCTAAGGTGATAAAGTTAATCCATAACATAGTGCAGTGTTTTGGATGAGCTTTGTGGATAAAATTTTTGAAATTACTATCCGTGTCGATGTGAAATTTAATCTTCGAAATAATTAAACGTTAATATGAGTTTTTATAAAAAAAAAAAATGTAGAACTACATTAGAGCAGAGTATAATATAAGTACGATATTATTAGTGTATAAAAAAGGAAACGCGCTTGAGCATATTTGTATGTATAAAAAAAATACCAATAAAAACATACACAAAGAGTATTTGGTAAACTATGATTAGGTCAATATCTTAAAAGAAGCAAGACTTTTTTAATTATGTTTTAAATAATTATTAGTTGCCCAAATTTAATATATATTTTTCAAAAATATAACACCGTCTCTTATGTGTTTATACCCTATGAACTTAACATGGTAGCGCACGTTTTAATGTACTTTTCAATTTTAGAATAGGTTATTTGCTGAAAATGTCGACTGATCGATAACCATTTTTGAATAATTACATTTTAAGTTGATCAAATTTAAAATTTAGGATGGGAAATGGAGAGCATGTAGATAAAACTATTTTATAATTATTCCAGTCTTCCTCCCGTCCTAAATTTTAAACTTTAATAACTTTATAAGTAATTTTATCAAACCGGTTATCGATCAGTCGAAATTTTCGGAAAATATAATTCTAAACTTTAAAATTTTATAATATATTAATTTATATAGACTTTTATATTATAATTGTTGGTGCGAATCGTTTACTTACTCAAACTCTTTTGTTTTTCGTCTACATAATTATCAATTATTATTGGACCCCATTGGGCTAAAATACAAGAGAGATATTATTATAAGATTAAGACTAAATAATTTTTTTAAAATTACATTTTCCAAACAGGTTCTGAGAAATATAACTTTTACACAGTTAAATATTTGTTTCTATATTTATTTTGTTTAAAAATGTATCTTAATTGTTCTTTTATAACAAACAGAAATCGTTACAAACAGTGACGATACTAATGAATACTAATAATGTAAATTAAAATAAATTAAAATCATGAATCATACTTGACGGCTCTGCAGGATCGGCACCTATTAATCGTTGAACAAAAAATAAACATTAAAATAAATCACTCTATTCATTCGCTTACATAACTAAGAGTTGAAATTTAACTGTTGCTAATGTAATTAACGTTTTAAATAAAACTGGTGTTACTATTTAGTTTTAAAACAATTAAAAAACGAAAAACATAATAAACCGTTGTTTTAGCCATTCAATAGATTTTTCTACTCTTGTAGCATCGCTTGCAAGTTTAAAAAAAAAAATTGAATTAAAGATATAACGTTTTTTGGTGCGAGGTTAAATGTAAACTTATATAAACTCATAAATAATAGCTATAGAAGCATGCTATTCAAAAAAGTTTTTCAGCTGAGTCTGCAACCACGAAAGAGCATTTTCATGTATCGTTGAAGTACCGAATAAATTTTGAGTAGTGGTGGTTATCTATAATTCCATTATAGATAATGAAATAGTATAATAACAAGCTAGTATCTAAGGTGACTAGTAAACATATCAAGTTTCTGGCTTATATTTTAGTGATTTCATAATATCTGGCCTTAAACAATTCATAGGAAATATAACCTGTTAAATTACATTGAATTTATTTTTCAGTTATAATTTGATCGCTGTGAATACAGCATATCTCTCACTCCAATCTATCACCCGTAACTCTTACCCTTAACTCCCACCCCCTATCTTCCACCACAACCTCATCATCATCACCATCCTATCCACATTTCTTTTTTCGTTACGCTTTTTTGGTAACACTTTTTTCGGTTATGTGCCAGAGCTAAACCATGAAAATGTCAAAAATATAATATATTGATGTACTTACAATCCACTTGTACAGTAGTCTTAGCACCTATCGTCAAAACATTAAGAGGTTAAAAATTCAGAAAGACCTGTATACCTGTTACAATAACAGTTATAATATTGTTACAGTTAATTATTGTTTGCTTACTTGAATTTACATTGTTGCCGCCAATATAGTTGTCAATAGTATGTGGGTTGAATAATTGGGCTGAAATAAAATTAGTAAGTGATTCTACATGATAAAAAAAACGGTGCGGGCATACTCTACCGTACTCCACCTCCCGTCTTAAATTTTAATTTTAAATAACTTAGAAAGTAATTATCCAAGACTAGTTGCCGACAAGTCAAAATGCTCCGCAATTTTTCCTAACAAAATGGCTATCTCAAAAAAAAAAACTTTAAAATATTTTATTTTCACTAGAAAAAAATGTATTTTATTTGTGATGTCTTTGTAAAACACTTTTTAGAACACAAAAATATTATAATGTATTATATTCAAATTGAATACCTATACTTAGCAATATATATATAGACCTTATAGCAGATAAAACGTATAAATTTAAGTAGGTACTCACTTTCTTTAGGATCACCGCCGCTAACAACTAAACATAACAAATAAAACGTTTGATTTAAAAAAATATAATAATCAACAAGATGCTCTGATTAAATAAATATGTTTATAGCCTATACTACAGCACACTATGCTATAGCATTCTGTTATAGTATTATGTACGTTTGTGATTGTTTGTCTCCGTTTGAAATATTTACCATTCCCTTCAGCAGTTTAAAGGTTTATCAGAACCTTTAAACTTATCGGGAAAACAATCTCGGGAGGGGTAACATCATTTTCGAATTGATAATATCATAATTTTTCAATTTTTCGGTACGCTGATGTTATTATCACTTGGATTATTTGATAATTATTTACAATGAGTTTTTGTAGAAAAACAACAAATTTTAAATTATCATAATGGAAAATAAGTGACTTGTCTCCAACGAATCACCCTGTAATAACGCTTTTTAAAAATCTTGTAAACACCTCTCTCTGTGCCTACAATCTCCCGACCCTACTGTGCCGACTTTCATTATATTCTTTTTTGTTATTACAACCTATAAATCATTACTGCCGAGTTCAAAGAATTATAACAAATTCATACTTTAATAAAAATAATTCTGCCCGCTTACTCTACAATACACCACCTCCCGTCTTAAATTTTAATCTTAAATAAGTTAGAAAATAACTATCTATAACTGGTTATAGACCTGATTACATTTTCAGTAATAATTATTCTTAATAAAATCTTGATTCTTGAATAATAGTTAAAAAAGTAAAACAATTTAGAGCAAAAAAAAAAAACGTGGGGTTTATAGCATGAAAGAGAAGAAATTAATTACCTTAATTCACTAGAAAAAAATTTATTTGATTTGTGATGACTTTTTGAAACGTTTTTAAAAAATAAAAATATTATAATGTATTTTATTCAAATTGAATACCTATAACAATATAGTGGCATGATAGTGCAATGTATAAATTTAAGTAGGTACTCACTTTCTTTAGGATCACCGCCGCTAACAACTAAACATAACAAATAAAACGTTTGATTTAAAAAAATATAATAATCAACAAGATGCTCTGATTAAATAAATATGTTTATAGCCTATACTATAGCACACTATGCTATAGCATTCTGTTATAGTATTATGTACGTTTGTGTTTGTTTGTCTCCGTTTGAAATATTTACCACAGTTTGTGGTTTTTCCATTCCCTTCGGCAGTTTAAAGGTTTATCAGACCTTTAAACTTATTGGGAAAACAATCACGGGAGAGGTATCATCATAAATTAACAGCAATTCTATTATATTACCTAATTATGAAAATGTTGGCCCGGTTTTGTCCAACTATCAAAATATTATCACGACCTACTTCTGGTTCTGTATGTAATAAAACCTTCGTGATAAGTGTTAAATTTCTTTCCACTACATGGTCTAACTTAAAACAAGCGTTCTAAAAAATGTTATCTTTGTACATTTAACTAATTCATATTCCTAACACTAAATATAAATTGTGCAACTATAATTTTACATTTTAAAATTGACTTTTTTTTTTTAACATTTATTATTAAAATATACACGATCTGTAATTATTATTTTTTTTTTTTTTTTTTACAATAAGCGTATGTGACGGAGGAGACATGACTTGCGGCAAGAGAGAAGAAGCCACCCATTGGAGGCACTTAAGGGCAGGAGTTTATTTTAAATGTGCTATTAAAATTGACTTAATAGCGATATTTTTAAAAACAATAACAAGCCAGAAGACGTTTGAGCATACACAATATATTATCATGTAAAGCAAATAACAAACTAAAACAATATCTAAGGAAATTAAAAATATGTAGGTATATTATTTTACCCGATAACGATACAAAGAAAATCGCTGCCACAGCAACTAAAAAAGATATGGTTTTGGAAACGGCCATCTTGTTCGCTTAATACCGTTGAATTAATTGCCGTCGTTTAACAGTGTTCACTGTGAAATTTTGGTTAAATGTAAAACTAAGAATTGTATACAGACGTTAAATAAGTAAACGACTTTAGTCATGTGCAACTCGTTATGATGTAAATGGGATTTTTGTTATCTATACGTACACTTAAAAAGAACACGTACTTTATGTTTTGTTTGCTTGTTGAAACAGTTACTAAAAACTAAACTAACAAGTTTAGTTGTTAGTCATATGCAAATGCAGTAAATAACAAAATATATCCAAAACAAGTACAACATCGACCTAGTTATATTATTTGGAGACCAAAGTTAAAAAAGATTTCGAATATTATTATATGTATTTTTGGGCCATTTATTTCCCAGCAATTGTAATTGTAAGAAAATTGCCAGTATTCCGAATTTAGTTTTACATATGTAATTTATATCATGTTGGACCAATTAACGATCTTACACGTACCTAAAAGGGAATTTTATTGACCTAAAAGTTTAATTTTTGACCGGTCTGGTCGATTGCGCTGGATTGTATTATTATTTCCAGATTCGCATCAAAGCGTTTGATTTCTGACAAGAATCACATATACATTTAATAATTGAATCGGTCATTTCAAAAACACGGCACAAGTCATATAATAACAATTTTACACTAACCACGAACAACTTCATTACTTTATAAAATTCAACTTATTTTGCACTTAGACCTATTTAAAATGTATTTTTAGGATTTCTGATACTCATAAACCATAGTTTTAAAATGTAGTCTAACTTTGACCATAATTAATTGTCGTAATTTTTAACGTCTTGCGTTATGCAACAAGCACACACATATATAATATTTATATATTTACACGTATACAGATTTGTAATCATGTAAATTGTTTGTTTCGATTCGTTGTACCGTTGATATAACAGAATTTAATCAATACATGTAATGCATGTATCTACCTATATCCAAACATTTTTTTTAGTTCAATTTATATGAAATGTCAAGTAATCTTATAATGTACTTACTGTTCTTTTTTTCATAATCACCAGACTCTATAGTTAAATTAATATCAAATAAATAATTAATAACTTAAATAATTAAAAAAAAAAAAAACAACTATAATTTCAGGAATTGCACAATTTTTGTCCTAGGAACAATATTTACATATATATATAACTTAACTTCAACAATTTTTTATTTGACCATTTTTACATGTTCAAAGTTTATTGACCTATTATGATAAATCACACGTTATTAATCGTTTTGATCGACAACTTTTAATTTAGTCTAATGCGTACTTTCTCAACACGATTGTCTCCGTTTTACTCCTACTAATCCTCAGTCCTTTCCCTTCAAGCTCTTCTTTATACTCTTCAAATCTTTCGCCCAATTCTTCCGAACTTTCCCCATTAGCACTACGTCATCCGCAAATATAATACACCATGGCATCTCCCTTTGTATATCTTTCGTAATATCGTCCATTACTAAAGAGAACAAGTTAGGACTTGACGCTGAACCTTGATGCACACCTATTCTTACACAAAAATCTTCAGTTTCTCCACACACACACACACACACTCTATTCCTCCCTCTATTACTTTCATGTACAACCCCGGTACTCCTTTCTTTCTTAACGTCCACCTCAAAACTTCTCTGGGAACTCTATCATAAATGTCTTTTCTATATCTATAAAATGTATAGATTTAAATATTTAACTATTTATTAGTGTTCACTTAATTCTTGAAAATAAAAATGTATTACATGTAAACGTTTTGTTAGTACTACGACTACCTATAGGTAATTATCGCGAAAGATGTACTTACCACCGACTTTTACAAATTCTTAGCACCTATTGTCACGTTGGAAAAACAAAAAAATAATATTGTAATAATATAAACGAAAAAAACATAATTTAAGTAATTCTAAGGTCCTAAAGTTGAGCCACAACCTGGTGCAGTTTTTTTTATGCGCTTTGTGGATAAAATATTTGAAATTACTCTCCGTGTCGATGTGAAATCGTTATATTCGTTATGATGTAAATGGGTTTTTTTTCATCTTTTGGTGTACGTATAACTAAGAAGAACACGAACTTAGATATGACGTTTCAACAATTTTAAATATAATTATATACATTTTGGGGCCTTTTATTTTTTACTTGACTAAATTATAAAAGTAGAACAATTGTCAATTATTCCGAATTTAGTTTTACGACTGTAAGGAAATCAAATTACATTATCAACTTGTAGACAACATATTAACCTAACCTGACCTTATCTAACCAATATTAAGGTTTTTCAACTGGAATTTGGATTAATTTTCAATTTTTTTTCGCTTGCAATCAAAGTACATATCCGCTAACGGCTTACAGCATTAATTGTTGAGCCACATTGTATAGATAATTTGTCACTAATAATCGATATTAAGCTAAAACATGTAAACACAATATGTAATAAAAAAACCGAGAAGGATCTGTTTTGATGTTTAATTATTTTCTTCGACTATTACTACAACCCTTGCAGGCCCAATTTTTAAGTTATTTCCAGTTAATTAGTAATTTCTATGTGAAAAATAATTATAGTTTTTTTAATGAATTTTTCAATAACATGTTTGAGCTGACTAAATACCTTGGATTAATTTTAAAACAACAATTGAACGAAAAGAATGACTAATTTTAATCTTTTACAAATCGTACCTAAAAGGGCATTTATTGACCTTAAAATTTACCTCTTGACCGCTCTGGTCAATTGTGCTGGATTGTCTTCCTATTGGGGTCAAAGCGTTTGGTTTATGTTAAAAATCACATTCATATTTAAAAATTGAATCGGTCATTTCATATGTGACACATGTCATAAAATAAAAATTTTACACTAATCACAAACAACTTTATTACTCCAGAAAATCAACTTATTTTGCACTTGCACCTATTCACTAATTTATTTTTAGGACTTTTGAAAATAATATTCCATAGTTTTAAATAGTTTTTAACTTGGACCATAATTCATATTTAAATCGAGATAAAACATATTTGACTTTATTGCTAGAAATAGAAATTAACCATAAAAAAATTAGGTCAAGAAATAAAACAAAATAATTGAACGCAGAAATGTTATTGACATTATTGCACAAACTGGTATTATTTTTTAAAAACGAGTATAGTTATCAAATTTGACAAAAAGCAATATTTGAAAAATCAGTGACTTATGTCGTTTTTGAAATTACCAATTCGATTGCTTTTTGACCTGACCTGGCAACCGTTTTTTTAAATTGTAAATATGTCGATTCGTTTTCGAGTTGGAATTTTTTTAATGAACAATTTTTAATTTTCCACGTTAATCAAATGCAAAATGTAAAAGTTCACAAACAAGTTCAACTTCTAGTCGAACTTGGGATCTACAATTTTTAGGGATTTCTCGTCAGCATTTTTTAGGCACTATAGATTGGAGAGGGAGGGGTAAACAAAAATCCATGTTTTTTGTTTCTTCTCGTTCGAAAATAATTGGAAAATTCACTATTATGGTAGTAAACTTTACCGTTATAATAATATGTCCAACCTAACTTTTTGCATTGTTATTTTATATGATGTAGCTTCTATTGTATCTGACTATGAACCGACAGCGTGTGTGTTGATACAGTTTTTGCTTTTTTACAAAGTGCCATTCGGTTAGCACACCGCGGTAAACCTTTTTTTTTAAACGCGACCTCCTGTTGATTCATGTTATCCATAACGAAACTAGTCTGGTCGACAATATTTATTATTTGTGAACATAACGTTATTATTATTGTTATAACACTTGAATTTTCGCGTTAAATCATTTTGGGATACTTAACGCATTTCGATATGAGATACATAAATATTTTTAAAACAACTATAAGTATCTTATGTGATTTGAAATCGGAAGACAAGAGCCTTCCTCCATACACTTTTTTAGATCAAATTCAAGTCGGGGTTAGGACTTTTAGGTATTCTGTACAATTTTTAAATATGTACTTAATGTAGTTGTTCGAATAATCCAAGGGCTGCGACAACCGCAGATAACCCTAATCGATTGCCGGCTTACAAACTAAAAACAAATAATGTTTCAAACAATAATTATTGTCTATTATAACAGCTAATGACAAGCTGCGTACATATTATAATATTATACTTATCGAGTTAATATAACAAGTTTAGGGACTTGAATAAATTGCTTGATATATGTTTTTTTTGGCTTATCAAAAACAAATCAAGCAGCGCGTGGCCAGATACCAAAAAATCATGTTACATATTATCAATTCAACAAGATTTTTTCTTTCGATTTAAAATCTATAATTATTTTTTTCCTAAGACCATTTTTTAACGAGACACGAGTTCTATTTTAAATAATTTTAAAATTAAAAAGAAATAAATATCATTTATTGTACCAATAGAGCATCCTGGATGTCTCATTTCAAGCTCGGTAGAACTTTACATTACACCCTGCATATTATGTAAAACACAAGTCTTTATTTTTCTCCTACATGTGATGTGGGTATGTAATAAAACTAAAAATATGTTTTACTTTGTATTCCATTACCAATAGTGTACTATAGGGTTACCGCTTAGTATTTGCTTGTAAACAGTAACATCTGCATTTATAAAAAAAAAAACCTAAAATTTTGATCATGACAAATAATTTTATTTAACTGCTGGATTTTTTTTTAGTGTTGTTTTTAAAAATAGTTGAAACGGATCAAAACGGAAAGAAATCCGTTAATAGTGCATATAGAAGTATTAGATATTTCGATTGTTTAATATGCACAAACACCTATACATAGTATATTATAATTATATGAGAAAAAATGACCAAAATGTATCCAGACAATACCCTATTTTTATCTATCTTCTTCGTATTAATTAGTCATAAGTCTAAAATATGGTTTTCTGTACGCATATTATTCAGAAAAAAACCAGCAAAAGAGATTGGTGTTATACTTTTTTTTTCAGTTAACAAAAGCAGCAAGACCCGCGATAATATAATATTCTCGTGCAAAAGGTACCCACGCCTTAATTGTTGATTTCTTTAGGACTATACGGCTTAGAAATAGACTCAATAAATCATACAATTTTGCATGTTTTTCAGTTAAATAAACATAAGCGAATATTGTACGGTATTTAAAAC